TTCTTAAACCAAGAACATTATGAGATTGCTACGAATTTCTACGTTGTCTAATCTAAGAAAATTAATGAGACAGTATCAAGATTATTATATTCTAGATTTTAGAATATTTGCATTTAAGAATAAAATATTCTTCTCTTAACAATAATTATAGTTGTCCCTATATCAATCTTATTTTATGGTACAAGGAAGAATATTAGCATTAAATACAGAAATCTTTTCTGTGGGTGCACAAATGAAAAGAAATACAATAACGTTTTTATTTCCTTATTTTTAAAGTATTAAAACAGATATCAGATTTTTGGCCACGTGTATGTGATTCTATCGCTCTGTGTATTGGTGAGAAGTATTTTAATTAAATATACACAATACATTTACAAAAAAATTAAAAAACGCATACAAATGTATGTACAAGATAGTTTACGCTAATTCGGATAATGTTAACAGTTAACGATTTCGATTTTTCATACTTAATACAATTAAGTATAACATAATAAAAAATCGTAATTTTAAAGCCTTTGCATCGATATTTATAAATTTTACGGATATATGCAAATATGTTAACTTTTTCTAGCAAACAAATAGTTACGTTATGATTCATACATGTAAATTATTTGTTTTCAAATATATGTAAATAATGTTTTAAAATTAAAATCTATTTCAAATATTTACGAAAAAACATTCTTTTGAAGTATAATATAGATTTTTAAAATATTGGTATACATATTTGTATTTATAAAATTTAAAAGTTATATCTCTAAAATAATATATATTTTTCGTGTTGTTCAAAAATGATTAGCAGAGCATACAATATTGTCCTGTTCGATGAAATTTTAAGGCTTAACCACCGAATTAGGAGTACAAAATATTTTACATATTAATTGAATTTCGTATATGTTTAAATAATGGAAATATGATATTTGCAGAGTTATCTGTAAGAAATTAGACAAATTGATACGAAGACGAATAAACGTAATGCCTCCGAAACCACAAGCATTTCCATTAACTTCCGTGGAAGAAGTTAATCATTTCAACGATATAAGTGACGAAGATTATGAGAACGTTGTAAGTATGATGTTACTAATCAGTCATGCTTTATAGATTGTGAAAAAATATATAAACATAAATTACTTGAAAATAAGTAATTGTTTTTATTTGTAAGTGTAGAGTATGAAAGTGATTTTTTTCAAATTGAATATGAATAAACAAATCAGACTGCAATAATTATATATTTTAATACGTAATACGTATAAGTTAGATATTAAATGTTATAAACATGAAGACATACAATTATCAGAAAAATACTTTTTTGTTTATTGCTGCACATTTATGTGTATATTGATCTCATCTTTTCTTTCTTATGATTTAAAATGTGATTTTTTACGAAAAAAAAACATTTAAAACCACTTTCAAGTTTTTTTCTGTTTTATAAGTGACGGTCTGCAATAAAAATTTTAAGCCCCACACCGTAAGATATTGACCAATTACAATCAAATATTCTCATATTACACTATGATTGATCTATTTCTTACTGCTTAGGGCCTAAAACCTTTATTGTGAATCGACACTAAAGGTTAAAAGTGTTTAAATTGACAGTGACCATGTATAACGAACGCCAAACAATACTACCGATATAATGTTTAAAAAATCCATAAAATTTTTAAGAGGAACCCGAAATCGATTTTATAAAAAATGCATTTTTTTTAATTTAGTCAGTTTCAGTTTTTTTTAAAGTAAAAAAAAATATTAAAATGATTTTAATTCTGCTATAAGATGTTACATTTCAAGGTATAAGATTGTAATAAATATGTTACGTACAAATTTACAAAAAAGTGCATTATATAATTTATTATTCATATAGAAATGAAATAAATCAAATTTGTTACAATTAAATGTACATATGTACTGTCTTATTGCAGGTTGAATATTTCAAATTTTTGGGGGGTTTGACTCTTCACGACACCATAAAATACTGTTTCAAAGAGAGGTTAACGGATGAGACCATACGTCACTTTTCTGCGTGGGGAGAGCGAGGAAATCTTCCATTGTCAACGACGAAATTAATTAAAGCTGTATACGGTAAGTTGCTTGCGATTATGCCTTTCAAATTTTTAACAAAAAAAGAAATATTATTATGATCGAAAATCACTGTTTTATACAATAAAATGTGTAAAAAATATGAAAGAATTGTAATATATAATAGGACATTTGAAAAGTATTTTTATATTACGATTAAACACTAGAATGGCCATTAATCTCTATGCTATATATATCTTTGTGATTTTAAACCATCTTTCAAATAAATTCAAGACGGAAAACCATCTTGGATGCATGAAAACGATTAGTTATATTCAGTAATTTTTTAAATAATAGAATTAGAATCAAAACCGACAATCGTGTTAGCATAATTCTTCAATTAGTGTAGCAGGGTTCTTCGAACTGGTGAAACTTGGAACAAGAGACACAATTTTTTTTATGTTTTACATGAAATGAACGACGGAAGTACAAATGAAAATTTGAAAATATCTGTCTCTAATTTATAATAATTTTTATGGAAAAAG